TGATAATTCAGTATAAGCATTTCAATATTTCTGTATGCATCCCTTATAGGTGAAAAACTACTCAATAGCCAGAATACCCTCGAGAGAAGAAAATGGAATTGTCACTATAAGTTTAGGAAAGTACATGCCTGCATTTCTCCAAGAAGATGCCTCTCAATTGCATTAAACGTATCAACTATCTCCAACTCAGACATTCTAGATATCAGCTGTTGTATGTCAGCCCTCATTTTAGCTTGCCTCCACAGCCTACACTGTTCTTGTTCAGCAACAGCACGCTTTCGTTGAAACCAAGGCAAAAAATTGTTCCCTTTCAGAAACCGCCTGTATGGGTACAAGTAATCATTTCATTTTGAGGCAAGCGACAATCCGTTAATCTCGTGTATAACAGTTTGCTAGTAAACGTTGAAGAGAAAAACCCTAAGTGGTTAAAAGAAGAGTATTCAAGAAGAAAAACTGACCATTTTTTACCTGTAAAGGTCCAGCCAGTTGGATTTCATCCTCTTCAACAGAAACTTCCCAGGACCCCTTGCGGATAAGCTAGCGAGGAAGTCCTCAGCATTAAATGTTGGTAGAGGAGGAGGATCAACATATGGAGAAGATCCTTCAGAGGGTGTTGTTGGTCTATAATATGGGCCAAATGGGGCCAAGAAGTTGGTTGTCAGCTCTAAGAAGTGCCGACGAAGTATGTCATTATTAACAACTGACATTGATTCCTCTACCCTGGGTGATAAACCTGCATCAATTAGCCTATTCAAGATTGAAGTGTCTGGCTTTGTAATTGGAGCGTAACTGCTCCAAATGGCTTCCTTGTGCTCAGTCATCAGGCAGAGTGGACCATCTCTCCTCAATTTCATAGCATTCAAAAAATTTGAAGGCGCAAACCTCCTCAAGGAAAGATTAGGAAGACTAAGTCCTTCAGGTCCAGCCGGAATTCTGCCAGTTGAAGCTCTAGCAGTAAATGGAAGTCGAGTTGCGTTCACGGTAGGATTTCCAACTGATAAAACATGCGGAATACTTCGAAGGGCTTTCAAGAAAAAGAGGTTTGTCACACCCAAAATCATTGGAGGAAATGCTGCACCTTCTTGAAGAGAGTTTAAATGAGCAAAATCTGGATCATGAATAGTAAAGTAAGGCCTGAAATCAATGCTACAAAGAAGCGGAGCAACCAAACTAACCAAACCAGTAACAGCTTCACAACACTGAGGTGGCGTTGGCGCTATGATAAGAATGGGTTCTCCAATAAGTAACAATTCCCATAACTTCCAAAGCTGCATTAAAAGTCCCCTAAACGTCCCAAAAAGATCTGCGTCATGGAAAAGACCTTGTGGAACTGATTGATTGGAAGGCAGAAACGGGGCTATTGGAGAAGCCAACTCTTCAAAAAGTACTCCACAATCCAAAGGCATACAATGGGCAGGTGGTAAGTTCACTTTAAGAGTAGCATTCCCAATTGGAAGCTCCATTAACTGACCAGGTACAGGAGCAGACCACATTGATACATAGGCAGCAATAAAATTAAGGGCTTTCTTTCCAATGTCAAAGTACAAAGGGCCCATGATCTGCAACAAAGGTCTAAAAACACTCGAAAATGGGTTGTGAGAAAGAATCACCACGGATTTTTGCTCACCACCCCGTTTAAGCCTTTCATCGTGTCTCTGTCTGTTAAACACAAAACCATACAAATATCTAGAATTCGTCCCCGTTTGAATTCTATTCCGTTGTTTTAACACCTTATCAGTAGCTGTCACTCGAGTATTATCTACTTCAACTATCTCGGATGAAGGCAGAGGATTCCCCTGCCTCCGGACACGAAAGAAAAAAATACAATCATGGATGCTTGATCGATTATGACTCTGAGAAACAGAATCCGGAAATGAGCTAAATGCAACTTCAAGCTCCTCATTATGCGTTAGACAGCCCGAGGGGTAACATTCTTCAATGAGCTGACCTTGTTCTAGATCAAACCTAATAATACAGAACCCAACTACCCACTGCTGTAAAGCTTTTTCATCTATCTTTAAATTATCAGCTTCTGATTTCACCGAAAATGATGGTGATCTGCTCATTTCCGGCTACTTAAAAAACTACAACATATTCATACTAATAAAATTTGGCTTCCCATTTCTCATTCCAGAAAAATATACAGAAACTTGTATAACCTATTCAACCTGTAGAATTAAAGCATTAACTCATTAAGCATCATGTAGGAAATTAAAGAAAGCTCAATTAGATAATGAAGCAAAAACCAAATAAATAAAACTAGGTTACATGTATTTGGCACCTGAATTCAACAAAGATATATCTGCCTCAACGCTGTAGATGGATCGGAAAATAAAAGCTTGAGTGATTATAAAAAAACAAGTGGGTCTCGATTGAATTATTAAAAAAAACAATTGAGTTTGGATCCAATGTGCTTGTTATTTATTAACAAAGGGGGCAACAAAAGAAGAAAAAAACAAGTGGGTCTATCCAAGAATTTGAATGTGAGGGAACAGAGAGGCTTAACNATATATATATATATATAGGATAGGATAGAGGTCTCTTTCAAATCCAAATCTGTTTTGTGAAGATCTTTTGGATTCGTCTTGAACCACAGTAATTATGAAACTAAAATAAATTTGTTTTTACCAGACTGGGGGGGCTGCTTTTGGCCGTTTTGGGAGACAAATGCATATAATATAAACTAAAAATGAATTACTACTAAATGAAAAGTTTAAAAAATTTGTCGAGATTAAAATTGTAAAACCCTAGTTGTTGAAAACTATGTTTTGATGATTTTCTCACTTTTGCTTTTGCCAAAAAATAATATTACTCCCAACATTTAATTTAAATGAAATTCTTGTTTTCAATTTTTGGACTCTGACGAAATGTTTGGCACAATTATTTTTTGATAATTTTATTTTTTTACACAATTTACAACTTTAAGGAATTCTGCAACTTTCTCTGTTAATACCTTGTTTCACTAACACTAATTGTTTATCCGTAAAACAATACAGTTGAATTTGCAACGTGGTTTATGGACAAGCGAATCGATTTGATCCAAAAAGTGATAAAGAAATAAGATTACAACTAAGATTTAACGACTGAAATTAAAGAAAATAACAAGCCGGGTTCCGAAATTAACCTTTTCGATAGCAGAGGCGAAAATAATAATAAAGCAATGATGAAGTTGTTGAATTGAGAACTAAATAATAAAGTATGAGAGCAAAATAATAAAGTATAGCTTTTGCAGAATGTCTCGTCTCCCATCAATGGCGGTTAACCGCACTATTTATAATTATACCTAGGAAATAAGATCCTAAGATCAAACTCCTCTTTAAATGAAAATAAAAGTGCCATTAATGAATATGTAACGGCATGCCTTGAATGCAAATATTTTCCGTAACAGTTGCTCATTTAACGCTAGCAAATATTTCCTCATTGAATGTTGTCTGATGGCAAATCTTTGAACTTCTACCGCCGAGTAAGTTCCCTTCGGAATCCATCCGGTACCGGTCATACACGTCGCATTTGGTATTATTTGTTTCCTGACTTGTCCTTTTGTCCATCTTCGACTCCACGTGTCATCTTACCATTAGACACCTGTTATCAACCAATTTTACCCCATACACTAATATCAGATTTCCTATCAATCACTATCACACAAATTGAAATGGGTGGAGTCATACTAAACAACTAACCAAAAGAAACTCACATCTCCTAGTGAAGCTTTTTTTGGGTGAATTGCCACTATTATTTCAGAAGCTGATCCTATAAACCAGAAATAATAAATCCTTTTACAAATTGGAATTAAAGTTTAAGGTGGAATCTTCACCATTTTTAGTTCTTGGTATAATCTACTTGTTTTGCTTTCGGATAAATTATTGCGTATACCTCTTTGATTGGCATAGATAGAATAATACAGAGATTTATTAGAAATTATAATTTGTAAATTTCAAACAAATATTAAGCTCTCCCATTCAGCTTGCATAATTATTTGCCAACTGTAACTTGCATTGCATGTCTACCACGGGGAAAGTACGCAACTAATTTTTCGGCAGGCATTTGGACTGCGCAAAACTGTTTATAACTTACGTATAAAGTTAACAGAGCCGTATCTAAGCTCACGCATATGAGTTGACGTGAATCCATATTCCTTTCCCTAAATCATGTATAATAATGTTATATTTCTTTAAAATTACTTAAACATATACGCGTGAACCCATGTTCAAAGACTATTATGGTGCAATTATTATTGGGTGCACTTCTACATTATAAAATTGGTAGTTCAGATCTCTTGTTTTCAGCACGCAATACAGATATATATGTGAAAATTACTAAAATTTCAAAAAAAAATATAATTTTAAACATATAATTGTAAGTGTAATGGATCATGGTAAGAGACTAAAGTTAAACCAATTAAATATAAATTATAAACCTGCATCTTCACAATATTACACCCATCCTCTTGAAATCCTGGATCGGCCTCTAACAAAATATACCTTTATAGATTTCTTTTTTATCTGTAACAAAGAAATTTCCAGACTATCAGTTCTGCACGATACAATACTCGACACTCGGCAGATAAGGAGCTTGCACAAATACAAAACTCGATGGATAATGAACTTACACCTCTACCTTTTTTTCAGTTAAAAACTTGACTACTTTTACTTTTCTTTCAGTTAAAAACCTGACTTGTTATGGAGTTCTAACCACTTATGCGAGTCTGATCCACACATCATGCATTACACTCTTATCTTTTTCTTATACTATTGTAGCAATAATTAGGGCAGCTTGCTTATTGCATTTGTACAACTGATTTAGTCATGTTTGGCAAATATTTGTTACTTAAGGAGACAACTGCCTATTGGGCACTGGCCTATCATTTTTCATGAATGGAATGTGAAAAATATCACTTTTCACATTTTCAGAGTCGATCATTGTTTGAGTTCTCACCTGAAAATGATTGCTGTATGGCTAAAAACATATGGACAATAAAGTATTTAGCTAAATTTAGAAAGGAAAAAGAAAAACTGAGAAAAGGCATATATTGTAATATTTACAGCTTCCTTCATTAAAAAGGACATACATTTACAGAAGATCACAGCATGAGAATAACAACTGCAATCCAACTATGCCCTACCTAATGTTGTTAGTTCAGTCAAAGCAAAACGAACTGCCCAAAATTCATTAGAGAAACTATTAACTACCTTGTCATGTATCATATCTGACATTTTGTAAGGACTTCCAACTCAAGAAGGCAGTAACTTGATTTGATGGATTTATACATCATATACAGGCAAGCGCTCCTCAATAAAGACACGGCAGATAGGGCATCTCTTACATTTTTCACAGCAGGTACTGCACCACATCAGAAAAGAATGAACAGTTATATTATTGGCGAGTAACCAGTATGCTTGCCCACAAAGATAGAGCATAATACCTGCAAAGGACGCGATGCCTGCAAGGGAGTAGCACCGTACTAATCTCTCCTTCAAAACAAACCCTACATAAAACTTTTTCCTGCAGAGCATAAAAAATCAATTGGAAGTTAATGTGATCAACTATATAAGAAGAAGATCTCACATTAATGAGTGTAACATTTTGCACACAAGAAAAATGAGATTGTTCAAATCGCACAACAAACTCCACCCACATCGTCTCAAACAGCTACCATTATCCCATATCTCAAGCTAAGACCAATTAACTAAACCATAGTATTACATTTATCTAAGTATTCATTTAGATCACCAGACATGAAATGTAAATGTTACCAGAACTCCTGGGAGCGAAATGTGAAGATAATCAGAGAATGTCAATGATGTACAACCTAAGGATCACCAATTAGCGGATTGGCCGTAGGTGTTGTTGTGGTCCTAGGTACAACTTAAGATATTCCCATTAGCAAGTACTATCTCATGCCAAGAGGCAGAAAAAAGCTATAGTTAAATTACAGCCACTTCAGTCATTAGTAACTTCAGTTAGTGTAACTGTCAAATGTTTTAGTTTCCCCTCGGAAGGCAGTGACAGTAACAATGATGATAATAATCAAATGTCCAAGGCGAAAACAATAAGATTTCTAGTAGTCCAAAGTTAGGTTAGGGATTTAAAAATAAGAAACAATATTAAAAGAAAGATTCAGACAAATGTTACTTCATAGTCCGCCGGAGGTCAAAATTATTTAACCAAAGCTGAAAGATAACACAGCCAATAATGTACAACAACAACAAATAACTAGAAAGTACAAGTATAGCCCATGAAACATAATCATGCAATATACTGAAAATGGATGAAAGATCTTATCTCCTGCACCACAGAGTTGTGAAGGCCTAAGCGAAATTAAGAAGCTTACATTCTGAAGTCTTTCATATTCCTGCTGGCTCAATTTAGTGATTTCTGCTTGCTCACCCAGAGCTGCTTGAAGTCTCCAAACCTATGACAAAGCCCAACAGAAGACGAAAAGTTAAGGAAATACAGAATAAGCAGAACAGAGAGCAACTGATCAATCAATAAAATGGTATGAACACAATTCCAAATTTTTGTGGGAATACAACAACAAAAAAACCAGTGAAATCCCACAAGTGGGGTCTGGGGAGAGTAAAGTGTACGCTGACCTTACCCCTACCTTATATGATTGCAGGTATTTAGCAAGAGTTATTATTACAAGAGTAATTGTTTTATCAATGAANAAAAGATGTATTTCACGGAAAATGCGTTGGATGAACAAAAAGCAACTGTTTATCCAATAGAACGTATGAACATCATATAAAAAATTTGTAGGAAAGTACGATCAAGTGACAATTATGAACTTATGAGGGAATTTCTGGGAGATATCAGTACAAGGATATACTGTGTGTATATAGTTTTTTATCAAGAATTTTTATTTGCTATATAGGTATACATCGCAGAGATTATTAGATTTCAGGAAATTGTCCTATAATATCATACACAACTTGGTTTTAAAATATGAATCCCGAAAAGTTCATAAGTAGAGAGAGAAATGTACGTTAAACTTACCTCCTCAGCAAGATCCTTCTTGGGCATTTTCTTGACTATTTCAGGTGGATAACCACAAAAAGTATTATACCTACAAAACAATAAGTAGTTACTATAACGAACTAAAGTCTCTCTTTTTTTCTTTTGATCAAGATAATAAAATAAAGTCTCGATAGCAGACTTCATTTCAGCCACATTTATGATTCACGAATCTAGTAATTGCTCGTGCAAAGAAAAGCAAAAGGCACTAGTGCTACCATAAGCTTTAACATCACTTAACTATAAGGACTGAACGAACTCCAATTCTAGGAGTAGGAGTGTTCAAAAAAGATTAAAAAACATACTGAACAAAAAAGTAATTTACAACAACGTAATAAACCGACGTGTTCTTTGATTTGGTCAATGTGGTGTTAAATCTGAGAAACAGACAATCTGGTATGGCTTTGCTATTTACAGAAAATGTTGAAATGAAACCAAACCGACAATATTTCTCTCTATTTGTTTTTTGTAGATGAGATTATCAACCCAAAATATGGTTGGCTTCTCAAGTTGAAGAAGTTTATTTCAGCTCTTGTTTAGACATATTCATTGCAAGTGAATTAGGGATTTAAATTATTCAATTAAATAGTTACATTATTTTGCTCCTTCACCTATGCAGAACCATCTTAAAGATATGGCCTTCATAAAACATCTTTTACCACTGTCCAGCATTTCTGATAGAAACCTATCAAATACCAATTTTGGAGCTATTTAGCTAATAATGCATGTAGTTGGCTTATTCTCTCTAGGGTAGAAACTATACTAAAACCAAAATGCAAACACCCTTGCTGTAGAGTTTAATTTTGGATTTTATAAGTTTTTTAGGGCCGAGGTAAAGTTAAAGAACCTAACAGAAAAACCAAGCGCAATTTATAAAATAAGAAGTTCAAAATCTACAAATTTCATCTTGGGAATCTTAGATCATGGACAAATTGTGAAGTGTGAGATGATTTCAGTAGCAACATCATGCTTAAAGCGGGAAATGGAAACATGATTATCTTTTGGAAGCCTAGATGGCATGACAAAGATACTCTCACTAATGTCTTCCCAACCATCTTTAGGATATTGAATTCTTTGGCATTTGAGATTCAGAAGAAACCTAAAAGATGGTGGAATTCTTTGGGATTTGAGATTTAGAAGTAATGTAAAGAATTGGAAAATTGAGTTCCAAAACCTCATGAAATTACTTTATGAGCAGAACATCACAGTTTTGGACCATGATCATGCAAATGGAATGAGAAGGGAAGCGAAATTCTTTCAGGGAAGTCCTTCTACCACAGATTAGTAAGAAGGGAGGACAAATGATACAATTCCAGAGCTCCAAGAAAGGTACACTTTTTCACTTGAGAGGTATACTTTTCACTTGACTGGCAGTAAGGGGTACCATTTTTACAGCCAATTATTTGAGGAAAGGAAAAACACATATATTAGCTGACATCACATGCAAAAACTCTCGGAAGAAGAAGACGTAGATCACTTGTTGCATAGCCAAGTTGCTACTCAGTTTGGTGGACAGCGGTAAATTGGTAGGTAAGTGGTCAATGCCAGCTACAGTAAATGACAGGAGGAAGAAAATAGAAAATGCACAGCTTATGATGTAGCCATTTGGCTATTATCTGCACAGTTGGGGGGAAAGGACAGGAGAACCTTGAAGGATTGGGAAGAACAGATGATGGCATGTCTTTTCTTTTAGCAAATTTTGGAGTAGCTATGAGGTTCTTGTCAGCATAGATGATTGGATATTATTTATAGAGAACGTACTTTTGTGTACACTTTCTACTTTTGTTTACCATTTGTACGGAACTTTTTCACGTGAACACTTGTGTGTATGTATGTATGTATGTATGTATGTATATATATATATATATATATATATATATATATACACATATATATATATATACATATATTATTGTGTATTATTTATAGAGAACGTACTTTTGTGTACACTTTCTACTTTTGTTTACCATTTGTACGGAACTTTTTCACGTGAACACTTGTGTGTATGTATGTATGTATGTATGTATGTATATATATATATATATATATNCCCCCCAAAAAAAAAGAATAGGTAGTAGTGACGTAAAACACTTGCATACTATAAATAAACCAGTCAAACCTTGGATTACATTTAGAATTGAAATATAAGTCCCCTTAAAGGAACATGAATTCCAGGATTTTCTATTTTCTTTTTTTTTTCAATCTCAATATTTCATCAACCAATGAATAGACATAGAAGTGAATATCCAAAGACCACTTTCGGCCCCATTGTATCACACCTAAAAGCTGTCGCGTAAAAGCACTTGGTCCTAAAACACTAATCACTGGCAATTCGTTGCTCTTCCCTGAAGAAATTTCTGCTTTTCAATATCTAAATACTTGTAGGATAAGTTCTCAATTGTGCAAAAAGAATATGGTGGATTCAAGACCATTAGCGGGCATAATTAAATGGAAGTAATAAACTAAAACGGGCCTCCAGGATATCAAGGTATCGATGAGCAAATGCAACAATGGACCTCAAATATCTACTTATTCAGGCTTCTCTTTAAAGAAGTGTCTCTGATGCCTTTGATAAATCAGCAACAAAACTTAGAGAATTTCTCCTTGTTGCTTTCTGCTGAAAAAAATTAGTGTCCTTTTGTGACTTCACTTCCCAAAAGAACTTGCCTAAATTTGGGAGTCTTTCAGTTTCTTCATTTACTCTTTTTTTCTGATGACATAATTTAGGGTTTAAAGAGAGGAAATGATGAATTGACATAGGCTTAAAGAAAAACTGACAAGCAACCACAAATGAATAGGACTTGTTTTGCGAGCCCCTGCTTCTCCTCTAAACATGACTAAGGGCATCTTGCACTGTCATCCTGTTACTTAAACAAATATAATTCATGTACTCTATGTCAAAATGACTACACAAAAACTCGAGGAATCCAATTGAACATCAATAAACTTCAACTGTCAAAGAATGGATGATCTTTAGGAAAGAGTAACCCCCCCC